AAAAAAAAAAAAAAAAAAAAAAAAAAAGGCAGGCGCAAGAGACTCTAGAATAAGGAATCCTTTTGGGGGTCACCCCTTAAGGATATCACCCCCTTTGGGGGTGGACAAACACATAAAAAGGAAGTGAGATTGGGTGAGGGAAAGCTGCCTGGAAGAGGTCTCAAATATATGTATCCTTCTCACTCTATTTTCTTAAATTAATTATATTGGTACATTTTAGCTATACAATATAATGACATTCATCATTGGAAATTAGTACCTTTACATAATCTATCTTGGTCCTTATTTCTTCTGGCTCTATTTAAAACAACATGCATACATAATTTATGGTTTTCTTTTATTGACTGATTCACACATATAAATTATGGTAGTGACTTACCCAAATGCTAAAATAATGTAGTGATGCATATTAAATAATGTCTATGGCAATACATTTAGATCCAGCAAGGTCAACATAGTAACAGGACATTATGTGTCTCACTCATTTAAGTCAGACACTTCTTATTTATTCAGAATTAATAAGAATTGACCCTAGTAGTCAATGACAGCAGCATTAATATGAAAATTCCATTCTTACCATTAACAATTGAAAGTTTTGCTTTTGTATTTGTCTCAAATATTAACTAGAAGTTAATAATCACCATTTCCCTACCAAAAAAGGAGTATTAAGATTATTTCAGTAGAGAATTTTAAACCACAAGGATTATTAAAACAAAAAATGTGACAAGTTTAAAAATCATCAACCCTACCAACAAATCACTTCAGAATTTCAGAAATGTAAGTACCCTAGCACAGTGTACTTGGGTGAATATTGTCCTCAAGAGTTTCCTGGATCCTATACATGTCACCTTATATGGAAACAAGGTCTTTGTGGTTATGATTAATTTAAACATCTTGAGAAAGTTCTATCCTCCTGGATTATTGCAAACAGAAGTGTCTTTCTAAGAGATGGGCAGAGGAAAAGTTGGCAGAGGCCAGATTGATGTGGCCACAAGCCAAGGAACACCAGCACCCAGCAGAAGATGGAAAAGATGAGGAACAGATCTTCCCAAGAGCCTCTGGAGGGAGAGTACTCCTGTCAACACATTGGTTTGAACCAGTGAAACTGACTTTGGACCTCCGGCCTCCAAAACTATGAAAAGTAAATGCAAGTGTAGAATAAACTATTCTACACATTTGTGATGATTTATTTACCACATCTACAAGCAACTTAATAGATGCAGAAATTGCTTAAGAAAAATAAGTTAATAAACAGAGCAGCAAGAATTACTCTAATTTTTGTTCTCCAAGCTAAACTTTTTTAAAGCATTAAGGATATTTTTCCACTCCTACCACCCACCCCCACCTGAATTCTTACTGAAATTTCTCCCCAGTGTCCTCTGTATTACCAAACTAGTGGTCACAACGGTCACTCTTAGTCTTCACTGTTGCTATGCCAGAATGTCTATATCTATCTGTTATTCATGTTTCAAATCCTAAACCCAAAGGTTATGGTATTTGGAATTGAGGCCTTTGGGACGTGGCTAGGTCAACAGGGTGGAGCCCTCATGAGTGAGATCAGTGCTCTTAGAGTAAGAGATAAGGTGTCCTTCTGCCTTGGGAGGACACAGCCAGAAACGCCTATCTATGAACCAGGTTGTGGACTCTCACTATACATTTAATCTGCCAGTGCCTTGACCTTGGATTTCCCTGGAACTGTAAGAAATAAATTTCTGTTGTTTAAAAGCCACCAAATGTATAGTATTTTGTTATAACCAAAAAGACTAAGACAATTAAATTCAATCTCTTAGTGATACATACGTAGTCCATGTCTTCTTTGTCAAATCTGTCCCTCTCTCTGACCCTCTCTTCGTCTCTTTTGCTCATTTCATGGTTCTGCTATATGTTAAGCCTGCAGGCTGGATATTTCTCTCTGTGCTCTCCTTCATGGTCTCATCTATCCCTGCTTCTTTCAGTCATTTTTCAGGATGAAAGCCTCCCAATATATCTTTCCACCCAAACCTCTCCTCCAAGCCTCCAGCTCCTATCTCCACCTTCCTTTAAATTTCTCACGTGAACCTGACATGTTCAAAACTAACCTCTTTATGCCACTAAATTCCCATTTCAGTAAGTGGCACTATCAACCCACGATCTTAAACTGAAACCTGGCTGGCCCTCCCACACATTCTCTGGCAGGCAGTTCTTCAGCAAATCCTGCCATATGTGCTTTCAAATCCACCCATTTCTCTACCTTTCAGTACCCTCGTCTGAGCCACATCAACCTTTTTTCAAAACCCCTTCTAAGCATTCTTTCCTAATCTCTCAATTCCCCCTTGCCTTAATCCAGTATATCCTACATATAGCAATCAAATGAATCCTTCTAAAACAGAACTAGGATCCTGTCACTTTTTCACTTATGATCCTTCAGGGCTTTCCTATGTCCCTCAGGGCAAGGCTTAAATATTTAACCTTGACTGTGACCTGTAGTGTCTTCTGTGTTCTGGTCTCTATCCAGCTGTGGGAAACCAAGACCTAATGATGTACTGGGAAGGTAAAACAGAGAAAGGGAAATGGGAGAGAGAAATGCAGGTGGTGGAGTGAAGAACAGAGGGAGGAACGAGAAGACCAGAATTTCAGAAGCGATTTTCCTCATGATGGCTTTCTGCACATCTTGTCCTGTGGCCTCTTCAGCTGAGGATTACCTCTGAGAGATGACAGGGACCAAATGGCTCCTGCCTCTGACAGCCTGGCAGCAGCACTTGTGCAGGAACTGCAGGCTCAGTCCAGGCTGGAGATGCTCTGCTTCTAGAATAGTCATCGAAAAGAGCTGCCTCTCTTCTCAGCTGCCACCCATGAACCAAATTCAGACGCTAGGATGTGTTGTTGGCCTTGACTTTATCCCATGAGATTCGCTTTATTCTGGGGACTAAGTGGCATTTTTCCAAGGCAGCAGGGTCCAAAGTATCCCATCTGGGGAAGCTCAACCCGGTTGTGGGATATGAACTTCTCTCTATAGATGTCCAAAAACATCCAGGCAACTGATGGATTGAGGTTTTTTTTTTTTTTCTCTCCCTCTTTTGTTTTAAGAAACAATGTAGGAGTACGAAGAGTGGGATGAGTTCCTTAGCTTTCTGTCACCTGACAAAATGCCTCAGTAAAACAACTAAGGAGAAAATACTTATTTTGACCCACAGATTTAGAAGTTTCCACCCATGGGTTGCTTGGTTCCATTGTTTCTGGGCCCATAGTGAGGCAGAACATCATGGTGGGAACCACATAGTGAGGCAAAGCTAAGCTACACCTTGGGGTGCCAGAGGCAGAAAGAAAGGAGGAGCCAGAGATAGAATACACTCTTCAAAGGCCTGTCCCTAGTGACCTTCTTTCCCGATGACTAGGACTAGCCCTGCCTCCTGAAGTTTAGACCAACTTCCAATACACTATAAATCCACCAATGCATGAATCCATCCATGAGATCATGATCCAACTGTACCTTGCTGCACTGAGGACAAAGCCTTTGATACTGAGCTCTCAGGAGACATTTCAGATACAGACCAGAGCAGTGTACATAGCCCCGGACAGGAAGCCAGGAGGTGTGGATGCTTTGCCTTGACTGCCTCAACAGCACTGACCTTGGGCTATCCTCGCAGTGTTTCTCCTTTACCCTACTCTCACCTGCCATCTGCATAATTCCTACTGTCACCCTTGCTTCTTGTGGATATTGGGATTAAAGAAGATAATGTATGAGAACAGTGCTTTGCAAATACCAAAATTTTTACAGATGAATTACATTATGGTCCATAATAAAATATACCAAATTACCATGACTGTATTTTTTTATGAATCAATTTCAATAAAAAACTATATATAAAAAAGGAAAGCATCTAATTGAATCCATGTTCAGTAGTTCAGCAGGTCTCTGAACTGAAGTCATTCAGTTTTACATGATAGAACATATTTATTGTGGGGTCAGGGATTTAGCTCAGTGGCACTGCGCCTCCCTCAGAGAGAGAGAGAGAGAGACAGAGAGAGAGAGAGACGGAGGGAGGGAGGGAGAAGGGAGGGAAAGGGAAGGGAAGAAAGAAAAGAAAGATATTTATTTTCTCAGCTCATATTTCAAAAATGATGAAAAGAAATTTGCTACAGTTTAATTCAATCTTATACTTCTAGTTAATATATTGCTATGCTGATTGCAGTCCACTTTAGATTTACTGAATAATTTTAGCCAAAAATCTTTATTAATACTGATGTTTCAACTACTAATGATAGTGCTATTTACTGAGTTTGGACCACAGAAAGTAGAACAGAAATGGCATCTTGTCCAGCAGAATTCTTTAAGCTAAATTGTTTTACTTCTCCTTTGCAGATGAAAAACTTAAAGCTCAGAGAGGTAAATTTCCTTCCAGGGGAGCAAAAATGACTACGTGGCAGAGCACTGGATTTGAACTTAGGTCTCTCTAAAACCCTGTATTTTTACTTTTAAATAGCATTATTTATTATTTTTCTGTGAACTGTGCTATAGCCATCAACAATAAAATTACTAGAATCTTCATTTTAGATCATTCAGTTGGATGAACACATAATACATATTTTTGAAGGTAAATGTTGGCTAGCTGAAACAGATTTCCTGATATCCAAAAAGGTTTTGGGAAGTGGGCTGTGTGAGTTTCACATACTAGTGACAGTCAAAGTACAACCTGTGTTTATGTCACCATACTGCTCTGTGGGAACGGAAAGCTAGGAAGCTGTTTCCACAGAAAATCAAAATAGGGATAAAAGGGCTCTTTTCTCTAAATATTTACTTCAGTACCTAGTCTCTGAGTTAAATTACTCACTTAATACAAGTAACATATTAATAGCAGCAGTCCCCAAATTTGGCCACAGTAAATTTTCTTAGTGCAAATGTCAAGGTCTTTGCCTAGAACTGTTGCATTAGCATTTATCTCTATTTTTTAAATTCCTCAGCTGGGCATGGTGGCACACATCTGTAATCTCAGCACTCGGGAGGCTGAGGCAGGAGAATCGCTGTGAGTTTGAGACCAACTTGGGCTACATAGTGAGTTCCAGTAGGTCTCAACTACATTAGTGAGACCCTGTCTCAAAAAGCCAAAAGAAAAAAATCCCTCCTGGGCATTTCTGATGTAGCTGGTCCACTGAATTCCCAATGTGTTATGATTTATGACTTTTCAGAATTGATTTTGTGAAAAATTCTAACATTATATAGTTAAATACTATTAAATCTTTTTTTCCAGTGGTACTAAATTATAAAACCATTACTGAAAAAAAGGCATCTCTCTATAATTTTGACTCAAACAGGTAATGTACACATAGAAAATTTTGTAGAAAATCAAAGGAGAAAAATATCCTGCCGCCTACATCCCACGTTGAGACCTCATGTTGCAACTTTCTCCCAAGTGAATTTTATGTCAGAGCCATAAAAGATGTAAGTGCTGCTCAGGGGGGACTGAGCAGCAGTCCTCGAAGGCCTTGAGAATCATCTCTTTCAGACCTCAGCCACTTCAGTGAAGGCGTTCAATCTCTCCAGGAACTACCTGGATCAACTATCAGTCATTTACTGATGGTCACTTTTAAGAGAGATTCTTTGATCACTGTCATAAAGAAAATGTGATTACTAATCATAGATTGTTCTTTTTTGCTCTATGCTGTTAAACAACCCATTCGGAGTCACACATACAGAAGAATGTTACCCATGACGTACACAAACAGAAACAGCATGTCACAGGCAAGGTGTAGTTCAGCATTAGAAAACATCATTAACATATGCTTGCAAATATCTGAAATCTTGTCCTGAAAACAAATTGGTGAAAAAGCACCCATAACTAAAACTCAGCCAAACAAACAAATAAGATCCATTCAGGCCCAATTCAGTGTAAAATTTATTCAGAGAAAAATCTTCAACATCTTAATTTCTTAAACAATGATTTTTTATAAAGAAAAATCAGCTTTGTTGTTCTCTTAAATGTTCATGATTTATTTTCTGAAAGGTATAATTATTTGCATATTAATCAGTAGAACTTTTAAACGTAATCATCTCATCAACCCACTAGCATATTTCTTCTTATCCCTGGATGATGACTATAGAAAGAGAGAACACATTTAATAAGGTGCTAGATACTCTTACCACTGCTGTGTTGATTCTGGGAAACCAAACCAATTTTTAATGGCCAATTGAGAAATTGGTCAGTTGAAATTTCAACCTTTTCCATCCAGCCTTTGAGGAATAGGAGGTTGGATTGAGACATAGTTGAGCTAAAGCCAAAAACGAGTTGGTCTACATGAAAATTGCACATGAATTTGGGGAATATATATGCTAGTGATGGAAATTAAAATACACTGGTGAGTCTGAGGAAAATAACATCCTAAGTAAGCCTACTTTTTGAACATGTATAAACTTGGTCACCTTGAAGATTAGGTAAAGTTTTAATTTTGTTCTTTTCCCTTTCGAACCATGTAAGAGAAATCAAAGTTAATCACTCTCTTCTCCATAGGTTCTTCTGCCTCAGTTTTATAAAATTAAATCCTTTGGAATAATGAATAATTAGAATGGAATATTATTTTCTTTTATTTAAATACTTTCATAGGAACAAAGTTTAATTAACTATTCTTTGTAAACAAAAGCTTAATCTGTCCTTTCTATGATGTTCTCTCGTGTTTTGCATTGTATCGGAAAAGGAGGATCTGTGTGGCTTTTGTTTTGTTTTTTAAGCAAAACAAAAGAATGTTTAACAACTTTTACAGTTCATTGAATTATACAACTAACACAGATATTATCATATGCAATGAATAAATGAATAAATTTTGCTCAAATAACACTTGATAATTTTCTAAAAGTTTGCTCTAATAATGACACTGGTAATTTTTTAAAGTTTTATGCTAAAGAAATCCTTTCCATGTTGTCTTCCTTAACAGCCCACTTTTCCTGTAGGTCCCGCCATAGGGACAAATACGGCTATTAGCTTTGCTCCTTACTTAGCACCTGTAACCCCTGGAGTTGGGTTAGTCCCAACGGAAATTCTGCCCACCACGCCCGTCATTGTTCCCGGAAGTCCGCCGGTCACTGTCCCGGGCTCAACTGCAACTCAGAAACTTCTCAGGACTGACAAACTGGAGGTACTTCTATTACGTTTGTGTTTTGAGATGAATTTATGGTAGAAGGATATTATGTAAGAGCACATCTGCGATAATTCAGTTCTCCAAAAAAGCCATGGACACCCATATGCACACTCGTCCAGTAACTTTGCTCTCACAATTCTGTGGCTTGAAATTAATGCCAAGTATAAAGTAAATTAGTCTATGGAAAAATAATAACTGATACAAGCAAACATCAGCTGCATAGAATGTGTGCTTAAGGACCAAGTATTTAGTAACTATCAGAATATTCAATCAGTCACGAGGCTAGCCACGGAGATGGTTCCAAGTCCTGATAGCATGCTGCTGTGCCCAGCATTCATGCTTACTAGATTCTAGAAAGTTCTGGTAATGGTCAAGAGTCCAGCAGGCATGGCAATGGGGGATACTCAGGATGGCAGTAAACACCATTACAGCTATTAACCAATCGGTGTAATCAGATTTCAGTATTTTAAGAACAAGTATAGCTGATCTAGTATGTTCCAGAATATCAACTTTGGTGGTTTTGTTCGTAAACAGGGGGAATTGGAGGCTGGGTAAATTTAGTTATTAATCAAAGTATTTTCTTGAACTTAAATTCAAATGTTCTATAAAATTCAAGAAAACAAGTTCATACATTTATAAAACATAAATTTTTAAGTTATAAATCAAGGCAATCCTTCTGCACTTTGCACAATAAAATTTCTCTCTAATCAGAGCTAGAGAAGTCATCCATTAACATTATTATAATATTGGTATGATATTCATAAAGTCTTTTTGTAAGTATGTGCAAAGATTCAGATAGATTTTTCAAAGACCTCCTTTCATTCCATTATTGATTAAAGTTTTTAGGTGATCTATGCATCCTTAGAATGTTGGATCATTAGAAAATATTCTTCCAGTGTGCATTAAATATTAATTCAATAAACCATAAGGGCAATAAAATATTTGCTGCCTAATATCCTGTGAATGTTTCACAATTCAGAATATCAAACTGCAAATAATTTTAAAGACATATTTCTTTTACTGAGCTTCTATCTGAAGTACATGGATCTCTAGATGAAGAGAATGTAAACTCGAATCATCACTAGTTTGAGAAAACCTAACTAACCTATTCCAGAGAACATGGAATATACTTAGGGGACGGGGAAAAGTGTTTTGGGCTCCACCTGCTGGGGCCAGTGAGGCTTTAGTGTTTCGGATGTGTCTGCTGCAGAAATCAAATTGAATTGGAGGAGTTAGGAACAAACAGTCCTTCCCAGCAGGGCTGGAAGACAAAGACATATTTAAAAAGTATCCACGACTTCAGCAGAGAAGTTTTCAGTCCACCTCAAACCAGGAATGAAGTCAGCTGTGCCCAAACACCCTTGGCAAATGCCTGTCTGCACCTGTGATGCTGTCAAAGGCAGGAATCATTCCATTTATGGAGAAAGGCTCACTCATAATCCCTGTGAACATCATTTCGTGCATTTTATGATCTAAAGATGGAACTCCCAAAGCAGGAGGAAATAATGAACACCTTTGTGGCTTATCCTGTTTACCTCACCAGGCCACTGATCAGGGAAACAGTATTTCCCAAGTATGTCTGAACTCTCCTAAGACTTGAATTTTATGTTAGTGACTTTTCAGGCAGTGTCACAGGTAAATGAGAGGTGAACTACTACGTAACATGTGTTGACAGTGGAATTGGATCCTAAAACAAAATAACTTACAGTTCTGCTAGCAATTTTTTCCTGCTAAGGATATTTATAAGTAGAGAATTATGTAAGCTATATGTATGTTATTTATCTTATTTTACGTTCTGTATGTTCAGGCCACAAATGAAGAATACTCTTCACATTCTAAAAAATTTTTTTCATATAGCAAAACATTGATCCTCCAAACTTCCCAAAGGATGAACAATTTGACCTACCTGAGGTATTAAGAGAATTAGGAAATAAAGAGATTTTTTAAATCAACCCTTCTAACTAACTCTATTCTACTTCCCTCCATTTATTTCTTAGACTTTATCTCTTACTATATTTCTCCTTTTATCTTTTCTTTCTGTGTTCTTTGGGGGCTGTCAAAAATAACAGTGACCTCACAATGGAACTTCTGGTGTGTTAGAGATGGTAGTTTCCTGTGACTGATGAGTATTGGCATCAGTTACCCTCCAGAGCAGGGAGAAGATGGGAGAAGCAGAGGCACTGAGGGGCATTCCACTCTTGGGCCTCAGAGGAACAGCACATGTACATGTGTCATCTCCAGACACTTTGTGTAGCTGACATTATTGCTCAATGAAAAACAAAACAAAAACAAATCCTACTGCATCTGAAGAGGGACTGCCAGAGTAGGAGGGTGAAGGATGTGTGTCTACGGGCAGGAGGGAGCGAGTATGATATGCTACTTGGGGACAATGGAAGCTTTATCGAGTTTTCTTTGTTATTTTAGCTAAACTGCAGGTTTCGAATATTTCCTCAATTTCCATATTCATCCTAGGGAAAAAAATTCAAAATGGTTTGCCACACGTCATTCTGGTTACATGAGTTCTGCATAATGAAAATTGTATTCTCCATGGCACAAAAGCCACCTCCTGCTCGGAAAGGAAAAGCGCCCCTGCCAGGTGGCCGCTCTCCTCTGCAGCGCGCTCTTCTCCCTTGTCCCAGGTATGCAGGGAATTCCAGAGAGGAAACTGTGCCCGGGGAGAGACCGACTGCCGCTTTGCACACCCCGCAGACAGCACCATGATCGACACAAACGACAACACCGTAACCGTTTGTATGGATTACATAAAGGGGCGTTGCATGAGGGAGAAATGCAAATATTTTCACCCTCCTGCACACTTGCAGGCCAAAATCAAAGCTGCGCAGCACCAAGCCAACCAAGCTGCGGTGGCCGCCCAGGCAGCCGCGGCCGCGGCCACAGTCATGGTCA